ATTAAATATGGACAGCATAAAGAAGGAAAATGGCAAACAATGACAGAATGACTGTAAGAACCACCTCAGGAATTGTATTTATTAGGTTATACTGTTGTAGCAATGAAACGAAGACAGCAGAGCAGCGTAGAAGGGCAAAGGTGAAGAGAAGTTTTCCTCGAGGCAAACATTTAAGCCATTTGGTGAGAGTGTTGCCAGTAGTGTGGACAACGGGGTAGGGAACCTTAACCTATTTGACGCGTACCCGAGTCTGGGTTTACACCCAGTCAGAGAAAATGTTCTAACATCTCTGTTTTGTTTCCTCACCCACACCAGGCAATGCCGCTGGATCAGCACCACCTTTAGAAGAAAGGATGTGAATGGTACTACACCAGCAGTGCAGACAGCGGGCTCTTGTTCATCAGATAAGTATCACTGCTTCACTCAGTGAAGATTTCTTTTCGCGTTTTCACCTGAGGCAGCTGTCCTGTTGGAAGGCATCGCTCGCCTGCTGTATTTCCCTGTGAGGAACCCATGCTTCGTACCCGCTCCAGTAAAAGGACGAACGCTGCTCTTGTTTCTGAACAAACCTGTAGGGATAGATCTAGACCCGTGTGCATGCAAGGTGTAGAACTGAAAAAAAAAAAAAAATCCCTATTTTATTTTCAAAACCATCTTGGAGGAGGAGAGATTCTACACGTTAGACAGAAGGAATGGACAGTAAGGAGATTTGGGTTTTTTCCAGTATGGTTGTTAAATGCTTAAAATAAACTTAGAGATTCGGCAGTTAGAGAACTAAACTCTATTTTTTAAAATCAAAATCTGTATCATTCATTGATTAAGCGTAAATAAAATTACTTCTCAATGAACATCCATGTGTCTGATGACAGAATTTCTGGGCTAATTTCAAAACCATCTTGGAGGAGGAGAGATTCTACACGTTAGACAGAAGGAATGGACAGTAAGGAGATTTGGGTTTTTTCCAGTATGGTTGTTAAATGCTTAAAATAAACTTAGAGATTCGGCAGTTAGAGAACTAAACTCTATTTTTTAAAATCAAAATCTGTATCATTCATTGATTAAGCGTAAATAAAATTACTTCTCAATGAACATCCATGTGTCTGATGACAGAATTTCTGGGCTACTTACGTAGTACGCATCACGATGTCCCACAGTCGGCCTCATCTTGCTTTCAGGAGTTTGAGTCTGAAATGTGATGGAGGCCAAAGCAGGCAGACTCTTGGTGTCTTACCAGGAACATCGAAGAGCTGGTAGCGCAGATTTTGATTCTGCAGGTGGCCAGCTCGCTCTGTATGCGCTGAACATCACGTGGTGGCAACACCTGGGGCTGACTTCAGACGGCTGATAGGCAGAAGCCTGCGTGCTCAGTTAAACACTTGATGACGTTTTACAGTAAAGCTGTACCTTACGTAACTGATTTTCTTTAATCCAGTTATGTATTTGTAATTTTCAGCTAGAAACTGTTGATTCAGCTTTCCAGCTGCAAAAGTGCCCATTGCGCGGCTACTGCCTCTAAACCACCAGTACTTTTCCCCCCGCCCAACCACAATTTGGAAGAAAAGAGAGAATTTCCCAGTTTCACGGCCCAGTAACAGTTGAGACAATCATTTTATGCAGCTAAATTTATTCTCAGAACAGATTACATTTATATGTGGAGAAGTGGTCAACAGCAGGGAAAATTGTCCTTCTCGGTGTCAGTCAGGTGCTTTAGGTAAGGCTGAGCTCCGCTAAGAAAGGGCGGGTGTCTTTCCTTCTGTCTTACTGCTGTTAAAACAAATCAAACCTGCTTCTGCTGGCTGTACAGCACAAGTTTTAGCAATGTATGAATTAACCTGCCGAGGAAAGGGGTAATGGGGCGAACGGCAACGCTGACAGCTGAGCCCGTGGTAGCTGTTGGAAGAAGAAAGTTCTCTTTTCCGCGGGTGATGGACTAGCAACTGGAGAGCCCTAGTTAAATCGTCTATGAAATGCTTGATAACATGAAAAGCAAAGGGGCGCAGAACTCCTCCTGACACAGACCTGGCGTGAGCTGTAGCCACTCCACAGCTTTTCTCCCTCTGTCACGAAAGGGCACGTTGTTTCAACAGGTCGAGGCGACCGCGCACCAAGTACACGACTAAGAACTCATTTTGCCATGAATGGTTCTCTGCCCTTCCGTGCAATTTTTGTTATTCCTGTTTAACCACCCCGCAGGCGCCTCCGTAGCCTTACCTCGCCCACAGCCCCTCGCTCCCCTTCCACTGAGACAGTAAGTGGCTTAAAGAAAACCTACAGCCAGCACTGCAGATGTCAAAAGAAAGGCTTTTATCTCTGGTCGTTGGCTGCGAATAGACATCTCCTTGCTTCTGCAAGGGAGCACGTTAGTGACGTGACCGACACGTGGTACTTACCGCTAACTTACTACTTGCACTGAAAAAACTAAGAAATTAGCTTTGCTTTACGTGACTTTTCTACAGACTTCAATAAAAATGTGACTACAAATAATTACAAAGCCTGCCTTTTTTTTAGGCAACCTACAGTATACAGAGTGGAGAATGTTAACAAGCGCACGTCCAGTAAAGACAATACAGCAACATAATAATGCAGGATATTTCAGTAAAAATAGAATAAATAAAAATATTTTAAGCTGTATTTAACAGGTTAATTTAAAATATGGCATCAGACATACAAGGCATAGTGAACGTGGCTGCCTGCCTACAGAATCACTAGGTATTATAAAAAAATGCATAGATAACTGAAGGGTCGCTATAACATCAACTAAACCAGTGGCAGCTGCTCAAGCACACCTCCCCCCCGCCCCGGACAGACTTTTTTGGCCATGGGAAAAAGAGTGTCTTAATATATCCTTCAGCAAAAGCTAACAGGCTTTGCAATATTAGGCTCCGATTCCGCCAACACCCGGGTGTGTATTTCATCTTCTGGAGAATGAGGAGCTCCACTGAAGCAAAAAGGCCACATACAGTCGGACCATTAAGCGCGCTACTTAAATATTTGCAAAATCAACAACATTTTGTTAACAGACACAAACTTCTTAAAACACACTGGCAAGCGGCCTACGGCTTTTCCTATACCTTTCTGCCTTCTCCTCAGCCCTTCCTGCAACGGCACCCTTCGCTGGCGAACGCTAACTAGGTGCTCATAGCCTGGACAGCACCGATGCAGAAGAACCTTTACACTGCTGGCTGCTAAGTGTTGCTTTCGTTTCCAGAGTCCGGATCTCTCTTGGGGAGAATCAGCACTGTGCAGGTGCAACTACAAAATGTAATTATACTGCTGAAAATTCACTGGTGCAGAACAGTTGCAAATCCCAAATCCTGGCCTTTCCAGCTGGAACGTTACAAAGATGCTGTCAAAGTATTTTCTGTAATTTAAAATAAAAGAGAGCCCAAGTTTGAATCACTAGCGTGATGACGGATAAGGGACCTTTTCTCTCTTAACTTCCCGATCCTACCTAAAGGTAGGCTGTTAGCCACCACATTTTGCTAGCAGCCAGGAGAGGAAGTGAGTTTTTACACCGCTCCCAGCAGACGTGACTGGGATCAACGCTAGAAACTCCGCGAGCATCTCCGCAAGCTGCCAGCTCCACGCCTCGAGATCTGGCTCCGCGGCCCGTGTAAACCACGGGTACTGCTAAAAGGGGTGGGTTTGTTTGCGTCCCCTCGCCTTGGCGTAAGCAGCTCCTCCTCCTCCCGCTGCCCAGGCTCTGGAGCCGGTGCAAAGGAGGCAGCGGGAACGCGCGCCTCGGGAGGGGAAACGACTGCTTCCGTGCCTGGGGTGCAGAGTCACGGCCGTAAGGAGATTTGAGATGGGTGGAGGAGCAGCTCTTTGGCGGGGATTCTAGAGAGCTACGTTTAATTACAATAGTTGCATAGCTAGCCTTCACCTGACACTCGCTCACGCATCACGCCGAGTTTAGTTTAATGATTTTTCTGCATTTTTCAGTGCAGAAATTTCTTGACTCTTCATTCTTTTCCCCTTGTGTTCCTAAGTTGCTTTGCCCAGGTGTTGCCGTTAATTTCTTTAAACAAGGAAATAAAAAGAAAATAGTTTGTTTATAACAGTCTCTTGCATAGTAAAATTAAAAAAAGAGTTCTTGTCATAACAGCCTCGCCAATGTTCTTTTAAATTACAGTATGACCAGATTTGCAGGCTTGGGAGACAGTTACAGTTCGGAACATATCTATAAATGGAGGCAAAACATTTTTAATGCTAGTTAAAAATATCTTTAATGTTCCATTTCCAAACTCTGTACCAATCTGCAGGTCTCGACAGAAGATGGCAAAGGGAGAGACTCAAGATGCATAACTGCATTTGAAAAGTAGCCCGGGGTACAATCTGAAGGGGCAATACTGGGCTGCCTTTGCAGTAGTGTGTAAATCAAAGCAATCGGATGAAGCCTTTGGAGCAAAACCATTGAAATCAAGTTGTACCACCAGAAGCGCTATCCTTAGAAACCAACTCTCTTCTTATTTTGTTACAAGAGCGTTAGAAGTAAAAGAAATTTCACGGAATTTTGCAAATGAGAAGAAACATGATTGTTCTTTTTGTGGCATGTTAAGCATTCAGCAGCAAACTCTGAGGGGAAGGGGGACCTGTGCAACCAGACGCTGAATTGAACATTTCATCACACACTCGTATGGAAAAGGCATGGAATATTTTAGTCTCTATAAGAGTTGCAAGACAATCAGATCACTGCCCAGTTCTTTCTTACTCCTGATTGGTTTGAGCCCTGTGTGAAACAAATGGCATTTTTGATGAATTAGCGACGGATTTAGGAGAATAAATTTAACAGCCAACAGTTGCATTTGCATGTTTAAAGCTGCAAAGCTTCAGTGGATCACCCTGCAACTCAATTACTGAAAACACTTCTGGGTTTTTCAGCGTTGGTTTGGTATGACACACGATCCTTCTCTAAGACTGTAACACAGGACCAGGAGATGAGATAACGACACCATGATTCAAAAGCACCTCAGGGAGATGTTAAAGTGGTTGCTAGACCAATGCTGACACACAATTTAAAACTAACAGGTGTAGTTCCGTAAAAAATACAACTTGGTATTTAATCTACAGTAATTCAATGGTAGCTAATGCTTGGTGCCTACTCCAGTGTTGAAAACAGAGCAAAGTGCTGTAGGGTTTAAGATTGGTTTGTGACAAATCCAGCTCAAGACGGTGAAACTATCAACTCGGGCATCGTTCACTCCAAGGACTTTAGCATGAGTTCGCTGGGAGGGACGTGGCCATATTCGTTTTTTGTGTGAGTTTAGGTAATGTTCATGTATTTACAATCAAACAGACCTTCCGTTGCTCATGATGTAACTCACTGACAGCAAAAAAATTATTCATGCTTCTTTTCATATCACACGATGGTGGCAAGAACGAGAGAACATGCTTGTCTAACATTGTTTCGGTAAGGGTAAATTCTCTGAAGACAAAGCATCAGCAATTTGAAATGGAAGGCCAGACATCGTCAGTTCGTTTTCCTTAGCGTAGCTACTGTTATCTTCGGTTAAGCGGTAGGAGGATCTATGGCATCTCAGTGACCGGGCGTTTCTGTTTCAAAGTGTCAATGAGGGACAACACTCCTCTTTTTACGTTAGTTGTAACTCTTCTAGTCACCGAGTCTGCAGGAGGCGGGGGCGGTCGAACTTTCTGTGAAGGAGGTCTGGCCACCAAGCACTTCTGATACCGTAACTGGAACAAAGCAAAAGCATTCTGCAATCCTTACTGGATCCAATACTTTCACAGAGCATTTTGAATACACTTTTAATACTTTGTCATTGAGTATAGTCAAACCTCCATTTTGGCTGTGACAGACAGCCCTGCTGAAGTTAATGGGACATTGGTCTGGCCATCTGTGGGCAGAAACTGTTCATTAGCACAGGACGGATACTAAATCACAGGAACGGCCCCTTGAAAACTGAAAAATAACTTTTCTGGGTTCAGCTATTCTTGAACAAGCATTATTTTCACTACATTGTCACTGGACTGTATGACACAGCTCCCAGCAAGATGTTTTTCCATCATTAGAAACCTGGGTAGTGAAAGAAAAGATTCCTGACTTACACGGGTGTTGCAGAGGTTAGGAGGGAAGAAGACTAAAGGGGCATTGTTCACTAAATTGACATTTCAAACTTAAAAATGTTTGGGTTTTAACTGATTAAATATATCAGAATCCCAATTCCTATTTTTATCTGTTCTTTCTTTTTCTGTCTTGAAATTAATGTAATTGCAAATTTGGAAAGACAATTATTTATGGAGGCAGTGAAAAATCTAAGCGCTGCTTGGCGCCTCTGAAGAAGGTCACTTACCATACAAGCAGCCTGAACAGCTTCTGATACATTGCCTGCATTTGGTTCGCACCAAAAAACGTGGCACTCAAAATGCTGGTTTCCTGTATCCATAATGAAGGCGAATGTGTGAACGTCCTTGCCTACTCCCATGAAGGACAGGAACCGCACACGACACTCCACCATGATTTCCTCTTCATTCTGGTTACGAATCAAATGATCGATCGTTACTATTGGATATTCTGTGGAACTTTACTTTCCATTTTAGGTTGATTAAATTGGGGGGGCGACGGGGGACGACACTGACGCAGTACTGTGGAATTCCTTTCTCTCTCTCTGCACACAGCCACTGTGCTCCGGCCTGGGTGGGGTCTCCCCTTCCAGGCTATCACCAGAAGACCAAGGCTTTGAGCGTTAGCACTGAGCATATTGTGCATTTTAAAAGCCGCTTGTTTTGTGAAGAAACAAAACGACATGGCTCTCATGACTCCAAAACATGCTCCCCTATCACCGGTACGTTATAGAGATGCTGGTTTAGTACCTCATCAGCAGACGTATATAGAAGACATCCTTGGAAAGTTTCATTGTGTTAATATCTATGGAAAATGCTCTACAAAAGGACAGTGATGTGAAACACAGATTTTAATATTACTCTTGGCTTCCATACCAAGAATAAGGTAAATACAGTTTAGAATTTAGGATTGCTACTTAGGGCTTAACCTATAACATTTTAGGCTCAAAATTCCTAGAAAGGATAACACTAAATTTGTTTTAAGTATCTGATGAATACTTATAATAATTTATTTCTGAGAACATGCTTGGAATGGTAAATGAAGCTGAAGCTGATACAAGCAGTAAGAGCCTCTGCAGATTCTGGAAAGACATAAAATGCAAAATAAGCCAAAGAATTCTAGTGTAAATGAACTCTTTCTACTAGTATTCCTGATTTTCAACACTCATATTGCGTTAAACGCGTTTTAAACAAGACAGCCTGCCTTACTCTTTCACTGATGACTGTGACAGTAGCATCAGCAACATTCATGGTAACTGGCATCCAGTCGTCTTTGCTAGAGGAAGCCATTAGACTTTCAATGGCACTGTTCAGAGTGTCCATTCCTAAAAGGGAAGAAAATGCAATAATGAAAAGCAAATACATGAGCATAAGTAAACAATATTTTACAATAAGAAACAAAATTTTTATTTTCACATAGTAGTACAGAAAACATTGTTTTGAACTCCTTACTAAAATTAATTTGATGATGGAAGGAAGGGTTGTAAAGCTGGTTTTCTTCATCTGCAAAAACAAAACAGGTGCCTCTGGCTTAGAAAAAACAGGACAGCATCTTGTTTAGCTGCTGCACCGCTTCAGTTCTCTGGGGCCCTTCTCATTAGTAGCAGAGCTCATATTCAGAGAAAGCAGCAGAAAGAAACTCTGCCTTCCTGGCAGCTCCTAAAATACTCCGGTTGCAAAACACACGTTCAGATGAGGCCCTGAATGTTACATGTCTTCACGCCTGACCCCTATGGCTGAAGTGCAAGAGTTGCTACCCTTCACAAATCACGCATTTTCACTTGGCTGGCCAGAGTCCAGCCTTTAGAGTCACTTAAGTGTTACATACCCACAGGTTTAGCTACAGGTAGCATGCCCAGGTACTGGACGTGGAACTTCTGTACCAGTTCTGTCTTTGGTGTTGGGAAATCTACTGCATGGGAACAAAAATCAATTTCTGTTAATCTGCATTCACTGCAGGGAAAACCACTTTTATTTCATCAATAACATGAAACAGTTTACCCAGTGATTGTACTCTGAATGTGTTGTATAGATTAAAGCAAATTTTTACTCCTTTTCACAAGAATTTCTAAAGGAATTAGGGATAACTTTGCATCACCTAATTCTTGATCTACGCTAAGAATAAGGTCACGTTATATTGCTGGCACATTAAAACCCAGAAAATATAGATGAATGTGTCTCTGAGACACACAGACCTAAGTTTCACTGCCTAACTATGTAAAATCTGCAATCTCTGTTGATACGTAAAACACAGCCTGCAAGTAATCAATACTCTGTCTGAGCAGACAATTACACAAGTTGATGTATGGGTTAGGAGTAAGATATTCGGTATAAACCGTTGGATCTAGAAGCATGTAATTTCCTTCAAAGCTAACACAAAGTATGTTTGTTCTCCTGGAATACTTTCAAAATAGCAACTATTAAGCTATGACTAATAAAGGCATGCAAAGGCAACTTTCTTCTACCATGCAGTAGAATGTGCAAAAGACCCTTAATTGGATGACAACCCACTTGCGCCCCTTGCCTTGGAAGCTGCTAAAACAGATGCTGAAACCTAGGAGGAGTCCTCCTACAGCTCCTCTGAATCCAAGTGATTAACTGGAGTATGTTCTGTTTTTAAGGAAGATTTGGCCAATTTGTGCAGTCTCACATCAGGAGGTATTTTGATTTGAAAAGGACAATACGTGCAAATAGCCACAAATAAGTAAGACTGCGTTTGCAACATTTGTATTTCAAAATAAAAGAGGAAATGCACAAGTTGACATAACTGAGCAGGACTCCGTTACTGTCAAGACAACCGATAAAAACATTTAATACAGTAACAGGTTACAGTCAGATACAGCAGCTAAAAGATAGGACTACACTCCTGACCTCTCCACCCAATATGCTCCGTTTTGGTCAAAAGCAGCATCAGAAACAGAACGTATCTAAAACAGGACCATGCCAAGGATACCAGCTGTAACACACAGTACCTTGCAGAGGAACATCAAGGGTGACATTTGTCCTCTCTTGCAATGAGCTGCAAGCCATAGCTTTAGCATTCTTCCGTTCAGCCATAATCTGAAGAAGACAGTGATAATACAGCATTTTTTTTTTAAATATACTACAGTAGCAACTACAAGTATAAATTTACTCCTATTACAACCTTAGTTTCTGAAATCTGAAATGTCAGAAGCTACATGAGCAAACAGGTTATTCTTTTTAAATAACAACTTTTATTTTCCTCCAGTTTATTCACCATTCCTTATCTACATAAAAAACTTAAATGGTGTCCAAGCCTACATGAAAGATAGATGGAGGAGGAAAAAAAAAACCTCTAGCCATTTTTATCAACAGCAAAATTGCAGTGAGGAGTGATATAGCAAGAAATGTAAATATTTAACACACAGGGAAGAGTGTTCATTATTCATGTTCCTCTCTGATCTATCTTCTCCTGTGTATAATTTTTTCCTCCATTTTTATGTTTCTTCTGGAATTAAAAATCCCATGCAAAATACAGCCTATTCTTCCCCCAAAATGTATAATATTAGCAAAAGAGGAAAAAACCCCACCACTTCAAAATAACCACTTTGGATGATTATTCCCTACAAATATGTGACTGAGAAGGGACCCAGGGAAGCTAACTGAGGTCTTCCAAAGCTCATACACGAAGCATTGCTATCTGCGTCTTTGCGCTATGACTGTTCATTGTAATTCAGCTATAAAGATAACTCGTCTTCCAGCAGATGACACTTGGTCTGAAGACGCTTCTAGCAAATTTCTCTTTGTTTAGGTTTTATATTTTGAAAGTATTTTCTGTTACAGGGACACATGATAATATTCCCCCCTGCAGATGAAAAACGATACATGCTAGCTGAGGAAGGAGCCCTGACTCAGCGAAGAGGTCCAGCGTGTCAGTTAGCACATGCCAAGTGCTTCCCCGAATCAGGGTTACATCTATTGCTGAATTACGAAGGAACAGGCTCTACTTAACAACGCTATTATGTTTTACTCTGTGTTACAATTAGCTATGTTCTTAAATGCTTAGTTGCCCTCATCCAAAATTAATGCCAGGAGTTTCATGTCATAGTTACATATGTGACAGCTCTACTCCCTTTCCGATACCTCTGTCTATAGCTACCATGGCATTTCCTGGAGGTATTTAAAAGAAGGGTAGACGTGGTGCTCGAGGACATGGTTTAGTGGTGGACTCGGCAGTGACAGGTTAACGGTTGGGCTCGATGATCTTAAGGGTCTTTTCCAACCTTAATGGTTCTATGATTCTATGATTTACTTGATGTTGACCTTACTGGATAGAAGCAGCTGTGGTAGTGCCTGAGTAGCATGTTCTTCCCTGCTAGACTTGCCAGAAACATCTGAGAGAACTGAGAGTTGGAGAAGAGGAGGGACATAACAGGTCTAGGCTTCTCCAGTCAGCCCCTGCTCCAATTCCCAGTGTTAAATGGCACCAAGCGCGGCCTGCAGCTCCCTGGCCAACGCAAGCAGCTCCCGGAGTCCTGCCACCTGCATTTCCTCAGGTACCCAAGCCCGGACAGACGGACAGACCTGCCAGGCTTTGCACAGTTGCTGGGCTACCTTCTGCCTCTGCCTCAGGCAAAACTCTGCTGCCCAGGTGGTTACAGTAACGCACGTTGTGCAAATGCTGACATTGTTTGCATGACACATCACAAGTTCAGTAACCACATCTGCAGTGTTGCAAAAATGAAAAATTTTTAGGCTACACAACCGGCTACAGAGAGGAATTTGACATTACTGATTCCATTCACTAATGTGAAGACAAAAGGTAAAAAGCAAATGACAGTCATAGAGTAAATCACCAGAATTTTAAAACCTGAAGGTTTGCTAACCAGCTTTTCTAGAAGAGCTGTGACTCACGAGGAGGGACAAGTTACACAGGCATAACCAATAAGACTATACATCCCCACAGCCCACTTTTCCTGTGGTGCAAACTGACATGTTTTAAGGAAAACCAAAATGAGTAGCATAATATTTTTAAAAAGGGGATGCAGCCTCAAATCCACCACAGCTCAATAAAGGAATAAAAACCAGTTTCAAGTAGATTGGTTTCACTGCCTCTCTATAAAGTGTTTCAATCAGATTTGTCTGCTGTAAAGGATGTGTTGCCTTGCTACCCCTGCATGAAACGACCGTACAGAGGACACTCGTGAACTGATCATGCAAGAAAACCAAAATTAATAGCCAGGGAGTGGTGGCAAATCTGTAAGGTAAAACGACTGGAAAGAACAGTCCTCTCCAGTATTACAGACAACACTATCACAAGCAGGAACTAAGATCCTTTAGTATTTGTAACTGGGGAAGCTTAAACTCCCTCTTCTCCCTGATTTTTTTTAAGTGGGCAGCATAACATTAGCACTATTTTCCTGTCTGTCCTGCAGGATAATTCCATTGAATAATACCATTCAAACAAGGTCTGATTATTTGCCGAGTTTAATATCACCATTTATTATTAATTGAAGCTGTGTTTTCTTTTTCTATTTTCAACTCACAGCTTCTTTATTATTCAAGAAAACCTTCTGTCTCTGTACACACTCGTCAAACCAAAAGCACACATCATCCTCCTCAGATCTAAATGCTCACCCTCCCATTTCTCCCATCCATTCGCGTCCTTTCCTTTACAAATTCTCCACGCCGTTTCTCGTTGCCAGTGATATAAACTAAAGTAACACCACATACAATTGCTGATTGTATGTATTAGGCTCAGGGACCCCTAAACAGACGAATGCAGCTGACTAAATCCACTTGCCTTTGAGCAGATTTCGTGTAAACTTGTGGCAATGGCTTTTGCAGGTGTGTCACATCGAAACACATGACATTTCAGAATTCTTGTGTCTTTGTCTCTTGCCACATAAGCAAAGTCTCTGTGTAAACAAAATAAATTGACACATTAGAAACAAGCAAAATGAACTAAGGCATTAGAATCAGTAGTATCTCCAAAACAACAAGCCCTACTTCAGTTTAACAGGTGTACGTCTTGGCTGTCAAAGAATAAAACACATGCCTTAGACAAAGCAGATCTACAAATGTAATAAACAGCATACCCATGAAACATGTATTTAAAGTTTGGTGCTTACTCTATGTAATTAAAGAGCTCATTCAGTTTCCTAAGCCTGGAAACTTACTGAAGTTACAACCCATAATTCCAACTGCAGTTGTAAATACAGGGGAAAATTTACTCAAATATTTTATTGAAGAAGAACTGGGGAGAGAATTACAAATTAAGACAGAAAAACACATGCAGCTCTTAAATGCTAAAAAATCTCAGAAACAGCATACAAGATTCTAGTTAGAGAAAAATCATATTTCAAAGGACTGTATGAAGTGTTTAAAATATGCAGATGGTAATTAGAGATCTGGTTGCATAAGGGAGATGTGAACCTGCTGAGCTTTGCTCACACTAATTGGCCTCAATTTCTGACCTTGTTTTTTCAAAAGTTAAATAAAGCTGCCCTACAAAAGAGATTTTTGCACTGTACTGGCTAGTCACCACGGCATTGTATAGCTTTCTAGCATGGGTGATGGAAGTGCCAGGATTATGCTTATTTGTTCTCAGGCTGTTTAAGAGTTGGAGCTCTTCTGAAAAAGTCACAGTGGTATACTGAGTCGGGAAGAAGCCTGGCTTTGCCTGGTTGCCACCCTGGCTATACCAGATTCTCTGCTCCCTGGTCTTGCACCTCTGCTTTTTCATGTCCTCCAAGCAACCACAGCCCAGTCCTACTTTGTGACCCTCCTGCTACCTCCAGGTTTCCTTGGGACTCTGCATCCCTAGCAGAACTATGCTAACTACCTAACTACAATTAGACCAGGCAAGTGAAGCTGGAGCTCCCAACAGCCTCTTACGCCTGAAGTCTCTTTTCAGTGCCTTTCCCCTTTACATGAAATAATTACCAGCACAATTCTAACTGGTGAAGAGATAGGAGGGATATTCCTAAACTACAGGTTTTTATATACAGGAATACTTCAGTTTGTACTGAAGTCTGTAAATATCCCAAGCAGGGTTTAATGTAGCATGGATTGCAAATTTCTTTGTTCATTGTAGATGGCCAGTGAATTGAAGAATTTTGTACTGAAGTTATCCAGGGAGAACCAGAGACTGTGGCAGATGGATAGCTGGACTTCCAGTTCTGTACAAGATACGAATATTGTCCTGCAGTTAAGTACCTTACCTGTATCTAATTCAGCAGCACTCAATTTTGTCATTAATGAGCCCTTGCAATGAAAGGGGTAGTAGCCCACAGCCTGGGCTGCTCAGTGACAGGCACAGGTTGTTCCTCTGTTTAACCGCTTTGCAGCCTGAAGCCTGATGAATAATACTTAAAAAAAACTTCACAAAAATACCAGGAGCTGAGATTTGGAAAAAATTCCACATGACAGCACCGTGCAGAAACACAGTGAAGCTGGAGGCACCTCTCCATCTCACTGCATCCCAACACACGGTGGCACGCAATGGGGCACAGCGGAGACAGGAGGCAGCGGGGCAGCACGTGGAGCGTGTCGCCACCCGAACCCTTCCTGCACAGGGAACGCAGCCCACGGGCTGCAGCGGCTGCGGGTGGCTGCAGCGCTGCCCTGCCAGCGGTGCGACGCAGGCACCCTGGGGAGGGACGGTGTTTCACCCAATTGCTTGTGACTTGCAGGAAAAATCACAAAGCGATAATCCAGGAAGGTGCCATCTACTACAGAAGATGCCCTGAGGGTTCCTAGCTCCAGCCCGACCCCCAAGCACCTCAGCCACAATCTGCAAGAGCCTTTTGGCATGTTGGTCCCTTTTGCTGCTCTGCAAGTTCATGGAGATGCTGAGTTCCAGCTGGAATCTTGCTCCCGGAAAAAAGCTGATGCTTTTTGGCTCATCCGTACATGTGCCAAGCCTTGCTTTAGAACGGTTTCCTCCTAGCTTAATGTTTCAAAAGCAAACTGAAGACTCCTAGCTAGACTCTAGTAATAAGACTAAGAGAAAGGGGTATGGCTCAGCTATGGCCTATGAAAAATCAGCAACTATGGGGAAAAAAATGAAACCAAGCACCACGTAAAAAAACTTTTAAATTTTTGCCCTTTGAAGTAAGCTTTCAACATTACTGATGCTCCTGAAAGATCTGCAGAGCAGGTATTTGGAAATGCTCAGGCTCACAAAAGTCTCACATACAATATCTTGAGCTCTGATGAGACCTTCCCTGGTTTGAGAGCTGTAAGTAAGGAATTTCCAGACATCCTAAGCATTTGGGATTTTTGTTTTCTATGTGTTTGGCTTTAGCTGCCATCTTTTAAATGCCCTGAGTTTCAGACTTCACATTTTTGAGTCCAAATATCTTCCCTTACAAATATTTTAACTGCAATACGAAAACATTGATCACTTAACAGACACAGATTTTGCTGCCATAACTTCATTAGGATTTCCCCCCCTTTACATGCAAGAAAAACTTGCTGCCAGTGACCATCACTGCAGGGTAGCAAAGACGCATAAACAAGCAGACTGCTGCACACACCTTATCATTGGATCAAGGTCTATTCTTCTGGAGTGCAGACATAACAGCTGAAACCTCTGTTCACATTAACTTAAAACAACATTGAAAGCCATCTATGTGACCATTACATGGCTATTTATTACCATTTAGAAGCGTTTACCTCAAATCGATCCTATTCCTTGGAGGACTTGTAACCAAGTGATTTATGCGTTCCTTTACAAGACGATCCTAGGAAGAGCATCCTGTGTTGTTTTGCCAAGTTGCTTGCACTGCGCAGAAGCCTGTTTATTCAAACAGAAATCTGCAGAGCCCCCGGAGCACTGGACAATACCAGGATTTCTAATTATAAGGACACCACCTTGAAGGAGTTGCACAAACAGAAAATAACTTGCCCCTTTTGTTAGCCATATGGCTATCTATTAGAACTTCCTTTTATTGTTAATAAAAACTAAAATAGGACAAAGCCACCAAAGCAAGTCATCGGGGCTTGGAGGACATAACACATTGCCAGCAAAACCCATTTGTAACAGACCAAGAAACTGTGCTCCAACGTTTGATCTGGCAATGCCCTGGCACACCATGACTGCCCCAATAAACTACCGTGCTTTGCTGTGGGAGACCACGTCAGGCAGGGCATCTCCGCTGCGCTGCCAAGTCCCTGATGCGTGGACAACCCTTGAGGACACATTAAATCTCACCCTACTGAGAGTTTATTTAAGACCCAAGCTCAACTGCAAGGATTTTCAGCCTTAAGGGAATCTATAAGATACTAAATGTGGTTAGTCAGCACGTTATCTCCCAGTGGAGGTAGGACTCAAAAGACTGCAGAGATAAAAATGAGCCAAACAATTAAAACTATATTAAACTAAAGACTGAATTCTGTCAGGCTCAAAGATTTTGGTCGTAAAGGAACACAACTCATAATTATGCCCCATAAGTGGGAAACACCTTAGATGAGGGTATTTTCAACAGCATTTTAAAGGCAGAGAGGTGGACTGGGGGCAGCCTACTGAATCTCATTTCTCTCACAAGCATAGATTTACTTTTCTGATCAAAGGAAATCAATGTGCAGGGCAGCGCTGACATTTAACAAGCTTGCACGCTTTTCGGTAAGAACATTTCTCTGTTCTTGGAAGGCTAATGACAGCCAAATGAATGAACCAGTGCACAGAGCCTGGCTCAGTAACCTCTCTGAATGCCAAGACCTGTGGTGAGGGCAGGGAGAAGGAGTCTGATGAGTTACGGACGCAGCATGTGTAGTGGGACATTCCAGGTGACAAGGGGGCTCACCTGCCACTTTAGTCCTGCCACAGAAGTGCCTGCAACACTTTTGTCCCTGCAGGAGGAGGATGACAACAGTCCTGATGAGACAGGCCTGCTCTGCACTCGCCAAAGGGCAGATACTGCCCATGCAGATGTTGTTTTTGGTCAAAATGCAATGTGTTGATTTTCTGACAGAGGCAGTAGTGACCCTACATACAGGCCACCTGCTGCAGGACTCTTTTTTTTGTTTGTTTGTTTTTTAATTGTTTGGGTTGGAAGGGACCTTTAAAGGTCATCTAGTCCAACCCCCCTGCAATGGGCAGGGACATCTTCAACTAGATCAGGCTGCTCAGAGCCCCGTACAACCTGACCTTGAATGTTTCCAGGGATGGCGCCTCCACCAT